GAAACCCCATGCTGCTTTTCTGTACATCACGTCAAAATTATCTAATCCTTCACACACATGCATAGACGAAGCGCTACAGAACCTGGAGTAGCCAAAGAATATTCTGACAGCATTGTTAAGACACACTTTGAATTTTCTTATAACCGCAGCACTATAAGCACGCCACAAGTGAACACAGTACACAGAAGCACAGTAGGTCGTGAATAAATACTTTTTCACAGCATACGTACACATGCCAAATTTGCGAATGAGCGAATTGGTTCTACAGCACAGCATACGATATTGCTGCTGAATCTCAAGATCATCACGCACGTTGTCAGTCATGAAGTAACCAAGATATTTGTACTCACTTACAACTCTTAATATTGTGCCACAAAGAGACAGCTCAGGAGTTTTAAGATTTTTCAAAGCCTTTGGACGCATAATCAAGCATACCTACAGTTTTCTTTGTGTTGTACTTGATATCATACTCCTCTGCAAATCGTTCGCAAGTATTCAAGAGCACTTGCAAGCCATGGTGAGATGGCGAAAGAAGGATGACATCATCAGCATAAGCAATGTGATTCATGCTGCCTAAATAACGGCAGCCAACGCCAGTTTCATCCAGTGCTGAAGAAAGAGAGTCTATATACACATTGAACATGAAGGGGGAAAGTATACCTCCCTGCCTCACGCCGTTACTTACATTAAAACCGCCAGCTGTGACACCACCCCATTTGACATGAAAAAGCTGAGTACCGTACCATTCAACTAGAAGTTTGAGGCTTTTATCAATTCCACGCTTTAAAAGTTTGTCATAGAGTTTCCAGTGATTCACTCTATCAAAAGCTTTTGATGCATCCAGAAAACAGGCACTATTGTTTCTAAGGTAGTAATCTGAAATTTCTTTGACTGCATATATTGCCATATCAGTACCATGAGCTGGCTTAAAGCCAAATTGATGGTCAGTTGTTTTTAGGTTCTCCTTGCAGCGCATAAAGATCAACGTCTCTAGAAGTTTAGGGCTAACACTGGCCAAAGCAATTGGTCTGTAGTTGTCCTTCTCCGAGATATTACCAGTTTTATCCTTCACGATTGGGACCAATGCAACTTTAGTAAGGGCATGAGGCAGATGCCCGTGCTTTACCATCATACTGAAACATAGCGAGAGGTGAACAACACATGATTGAGGTGCGAACTTTAAATGCTCCGTCTGTAGGTCGTCGTGCCCTGGGCTACGACCTGATGACAGATCACGTATCGATCTGGAAACTTCAGCAACCGAAATAAGTGGGATATCAGGAAGGTCAGCATCAAGCTGTGATAGTACGGAAGGCCTTAAGCTTTGGTCCGTCACTGAATTAAGTATTTCAGCAAAATGGTTCTTCCACATTTCACCAATATTAGAAGCACCAGTGACGCCACCAACCGTAGATGCTAGCGGTGGCGAACTGTTGAGCTTTCTAACATCATTCCAAAAAGAGGATACATTTCGTGGATACCTGGCTAGCTTATCGGCCATCGACTTAGCCCGTAGATCTTTTTCGTTCCTAAGGCACCAACGCAATGAATACTTGAATCGAGCTTTAGCCAGTCTCAATTGATCATAGATGTAGCCATCTCTTGGTTTACCTACCAACGCCCACAAACAGTATATGTCCCCGAGAACTGAGTGGGCTTCTTTGACAAAGTCATTCCACCCTGGGATGGCCTTGCCATTCCCTGTTACCGCCTTGGCAATGCTTCGGCGTGAAGACTCGCGCAAGCATGCCATAGCAAACATGCCAAGCATGCCATGATAGCTGTTTTAACGCTCTTTCTGGGCAATTCTCTCAGATTTGGCCTAAGGTCAACGGTTTAGCCTGCTGAGGACAATAACTGACAAAATATACTTTTTTTCGGAAACGGGTTTTCTGCAATAACTTTTGAATCAAAACTTGCACGAGCCTTCTTTTAGCAGCATCGTGTTTCACTCGTCAAGACTCATCGAATGAACTATTACTAGTAGGTATTTGACCTTGAAAGGTCAACTTAAAAATTTGACCTCAGTTCAAGGTCATGACCTGACCGGAAAAGGGCATGTTGCATATCACTCGATTCGCATCGTCGAGCCTAACACATCTTAGACGTTTTCATTGCTTTAGCATGCGTTTAGCAAAAGTTATGAGCGAAAAACTGTTAGATGCCGTTCGTAACCTACATAGATGACCTCAGGAACATAACGAGGGGTCACGGATGCCATGTTCCGGCTAAGTGTGTCATTTTTGCTTGTAATTTGGTGTTCGACCTATAATGGAGAGGTCGCAAAATTGACCTGACATTAGGTCACCGATATCGTAGTTCCGAGGGATACATTTTGTAATTTGTACATACATTCGCTCTTGTTATTATAATTGCTGAAAGTTTCAAAGTGATCAGTCATTCAGTGTAGCTATTGCGGGCATTGAAACTTCTTATGTGGTGGGGTCACTTGACGTGACTGACCTGACCTTGAGTGACCCTGGTCTTAAATTTACACAGCATGTGTAAAAAGATGTAAAGATGTATGATGATAACGTGTGCCAAAAACCGGAGGGTTGGTGTTCAAACAGCCCCCCCCCCCCTCAGCAGGGCGCGGGTAATCAGGTTGCTAGAACCGATGCTTTGCATTGCAATTTTCGCAAGAGTTGCGAACACTTATTTCGCGGGTAGATCTTCTAAAGATGCTGATATCTGTTTTCAATTAACATTAACGCTTACGTCTATAGGTAAGCCAGCTTCAGCGCACTGTTTCCTCAACAAATGAATTGGAAAAAACAGGTTATTTAATTTTAACTTTTATTGAAACGAACTATATAATCGACAATAAATATAAAATCGACGAAGAAGGAAATCTCCACATGCACAAATAGTCAGGTACAGCATTGAACAGCTCAGCTGAGGGCCGACACGGCGCGTCTGTCCCTCTCCCGTTTAGAGAGGGAGAGCAGCCCGGTTGGCGGCAGGCGGCGCCGGCGGCCGTCTAGTTGTACGGCTGCTGCTTGCCGGCCGGACGGTATGCCGGCTGGCTGACGGACGCCGCCGGGTAGCGCGCCTCACCCTCGTACGTCACCTCGGCCACGTAGCCGCCGTCGCCGCTGACGCTGTAGGTGACGCGCTGCACGCGGCCGTCCGGCAGCGCCACGTAGTAGCTGCCCTGCGTGTTGGCTCCGTCGCGCGACTCGCTCTGTCCAAAGTCGACGGCGTAGTTGGAGTCCTGCACCTTGTAGTCGTAGGCGTACTTGGCCGGAGCGTCTGAGTACTGCTGCTGGGCGTACTTCTGGGGAGCCGCCAGGGCGACCGCCACCAGAGCAGAGATGAGCAGGACCTGCAGGAAATGAAGGCGGGGTGGTTACTGGTTAGGCCATCAAAGATCCGCTGCCGTAACGTGGGATGGGAAAATGTGTGAGGAAAATGAAATACCTACATTGCTCTTAGGGCAAAGTTATTAGTCTAGCAACTGCCGGCTGAAGCGTATATTTATGCTTGAGCTCAGATTTTTTAAAGACAATGAACTACGAAACGATGCTTATGTCAACGAAAAAAATGAAAATTTTGTTATTAGCTCTTATAAACCAAACTGTATGATGCATTGCTAATCCCTGTATGAAATGCATGAATATGTACCAGTATAATGTCAAAGTCGTATAATGTCAAACAGGCTGCTCTCCCTCTCTAAACGGGAGAGGGACAGACGCGCCGTGTCGGCTAGTATAATGTCAAAACAGTTTTACTCTCACCTTCATGTTTCTAGTTGAGGTGGTTTGGTGAGCTGTTGGCTGCTGGATCCGCTATGAGAGACTGGTGTCGGCAGTAAGGCACACGCGGCCTTTATACCCCCGGCAGACTCTCACGGTACTGGCTGGACACACAGGCAGTGACCCAACCCGATCGCCGGCAGCAACCCCAACATATGTTAACCTTGCCTCAGGAAATTTGCATCGATGTGACTGTTATGGGTGATCGGTATGTGTCCATTTAAAGCCTTGTATTGCTGCCTCAGCCAGGGGAAAAAATAATAGGCATACAACTCCCATGGGATTGCTCGATTTTTACATGCCTGGAAGGTTATCTCTTAATTCCGCCCGAAAGCTGTTAAAGGGACCCTCCCACCTTAACATTAGTTTTGAGTTGAGATAGCCAAGTTTGCGGCCAGGCTCAGAAACCACCATTTATCCTGGTCGCAACCCCCGCAGCTTTATGGTGTTCAAGAAATTTCTTCCATTTACTTGCAGGGTGGGACCAGCGTGGTCCCTATCTCTTAACCATTACGGGAATCTGATGACGTCATCAGGCTTTCGAACGTCCGTTAAATGTTTGACTAAAACGTTTTGTAGCACGCGGTGGTATATGCTGCTTTGCGCGCAACAAATGCCGCACTTTCAAATAAAGTCGCTAGGAACAGCGGAGATCCCAAAAAATAAACAATAGTAAAAGTCTAATATCTTGAAAACCGGTGAATATTTTTCGATGAAATTTGGTAGATATTCGTTTTCGCTCTTTCTGAACCGAGCGACATCACTTTCATGCCAATTCATTAACATTTTTGAAGGTGGGAGGGTCCCTTTAATTATGACTTGAATTGGTTACAGAAGCAAGCAAAGTCTTTCATTGTGCCACCGTCCAATGGTGAATTCCCCATATCGGTTCGGACCCCGCCCCCAGAAATTTTTTTAACTTTAAAAGTCGTAATTATATGTAATATACCTATATGTATGTAAAAATGTAAGGGTGCTATAAACCCAAATTCCGAAGTATCCTTCATGATTGACTGACATACCCATATTGAATGTTGATGTCTTGGTGAGCTTTAACCTTACCATTGGCTTTATTCCTCTGAACTGACACTAACTGCAACCTCTCTTTGCATTTCCCTCTCTTTTGCAAGAAATGATTTCGACTGGAACATTATGTGTAGATACTTGGTGCTCATTTGGGATTCTCTAACCGGTCGGCCAGGGAGGTGGGTCGTTTTCAGAAAATGATTGGTAGGGCCCAAAGATGGTGGACGGCCATTATAATAGGGCTTAGGTACCAGGGTAGGGTGCCCATATCTGTCTTTTCTCATCGAATTTAGGCAACTTATTTTTCCTTTTGGTCAATGACATGACAAAATAAAATGAATAAATATTTTTGGGGGAATTCCAGGTATTACCGAACCCGACGCACAGAACTACTCGTATTGCCTATACTGATCAGTGAACTCTATATAGTGTTCACTGTTCAGTGTTCAGTATTGTCATGTGTCAGAGGAGCACACGCCACTCGGAAATAGACCTACTCCGACCAAAAAGGCTGCAGCTGTGCTGAGAGGGCCAAACAACTGCTTTGAGGGCGCACGCTGAGTGAAAGATTAGATATTATAACTAGCGAGATCCTTGAGATCCTCCTTGAGAACTAATGAAATTCTTATAGTATGTATGTAGGGGAGACCCGGGAGGTATGGGCCGGTTTTGTGACAAGGCAATTTTCTTCCAGTGGGAAGTGGCTAGAACCGGCTTTTCACTCTGTGTACGTGAAATTGCCTTTCGCCTGCAAAGTGTGCCTGATATTAGGCATCTGGGATCAACTATTTTATCTCGAGATAACTTTCAATAAATCATGCGCTTTCTTTTCCGATCCATCAAAATACACCGGTAGGTGTGGGCCATGGCCCGGGAGGTATGGGCCGGTGCCATGTTTCATATTCTTTTCTCGATAATGAGAACAATACTCGTAGCTGGTATCTACCTTGATCTCTCTTAGAGCCCAGGAACCGCATAAGCGGCCAACAGCTTACTTCATGGGGGTCACGTGGGCACATACGTATTTTGGTAAACTCAATCATGCTCCATGCAATAAGATAGATAATATTTTTCTGTTCGAATGAAATTTGTAGTTTTCGACCTTGCGCGACAAAAATAAAACTTATTAAAGAGGATATTCAATGAAAGCATCATTTTATTGATTTAGGATCATCGGGGGTGGGTGGCCCGAACCTCCCGGTTAGGACGCCAGAATGTGCGTAGCGTCTCAGCTCATAATCTTGCAAGAAAGCTTCAATTTTTCTATCCAGTCTTAATTTGCATGCTTTAAACTTTATATTACCGATGGCCTGACGTCATAAAACGAGTCTGGTTCAAATTAATCACGAATTTTCTGTATGTACCGTATTTTACTCGAAGAGAGCAAAAACACTTTTTCACCGCTCATTGCCAAAGAAGACTGAGGAAAATTTTGGAAATCACGTGGGTTGTATAACGGAATTGCTGCTACCAGTTTATGCGGTCAAATGTGTAAAAATACGCATCACTTCTTCAAAACTGCAATGGCCCATACCTCCAGGGGGCCCATACCTCCCGGGTCTCCCCTACTTACCTCTATCGATACCAAATTATCCGAACCGTGACTTAACAAAACAGTCAGGAAATGGAGACTAAGACACCTCACATTTAGCTACATGTGCTTGCCGTGTTAAGGATCAAAGATGCGATATTGTGCAGATGCTAGGGGAAGTTGGGGCAATGCCGGAGTTGGGGCAAAGCCGAAATTCAAGATATTTCGAAAACCGTACGACATGGATGCCACATGTCAGTGATGTTCTGAAGCTTAAGTGACTACAATTATCGCATGTTTGTTACGAGTCGTCATTCGGAATACTTTGGCTGTGAGGGCGCCAAGAGCGTTTTCAAGGTACGTTTCCCTTGTACTACATGCGCCTTTGAAGCTGCATTTATTACTCATTATGCTACCGTTTGTCTGGCCAATTCGGTCAAGTAATCTTCAGCATGTCTTTGCATAAGTGTGCTGCCTATTTGAAATTTATACAGCACGTTGAAAAGTTATGGGCCTGCAAATAAAAGTATGGCTGGCTGGGGTAATGCCGAAAACGTGCAATTACGCACGTTAAAGCACTCCACGTGGACTTTACTGCTGTAGAATAGCAACGCGTATTTTTAGTCACACAAATTACACTTTCAACCGACACAACGGCCTGTTACCTCTAAGGAATGATTTACCTGGCCTTTTCTTATTATATCACACAATTATAACTTCCAGTGTGCACCAAGCGTCCCCAAGCTCTTAAAACCCATGTCAGCTTTGATGAATTCTGGATAAAGTTTGAGATAAAATGGCAAAACATCAATTTCGGCATTCCCCGTAGATCATTTCTCCCATTTTCGGCTTTCCCGCAGTCCGGGGCAACGCCGAAAAAGTCACTTCTTTGATATTTCTAGTTTGTGCGCTTAACGGTATGCGAATTCATCAAATGCGCCTGGTATGTTTGAAAGGCAAAAGACTGGCCTCTCGAATGACGCCAACAAGAATAGCTTATTGCTATGCCGAGTGATTGAAAACGCTTTGTGGTCCAGGGGCGCTGAGAGGCCAGAAGGGCGCCGAACAGTCGAGGGATGCACGGTGAACAGAGACATAAGGTCGCGAGAAGGTCAGGAGGGGTGGGCGTCGCTAGGTCATGAGAATGGCGCGATGCTGTCAAAAGGGCGCCATTCTCCCAGAAAGGTGCCGAGTGATTAAAAACGATACTATATTATCCTGGAACGCAAGACGGTCAGGAGGACGCCGTTAGAGCATGCGAATGGCGCCATGCTCCCGAAAGGACGTTTGTAAAAGACTTGTGGGTGCATTTTCATCATTGTGGAGGCATAATTCAGAATTGTGGGTGCATCTTCCCCCGCAAAGATATTTAAAATTACACCCCTGGGTAAGGCTGGGGCTCTACCAGGCCTATATATAATATATGTACAAAACGATACCCATGCGGCCAGGTATTGTAGATGTCCCACTTCTCCTTCTTCCCACTTCTCACTACTCTCCCCTACTAGAAATGCCGAGTTGTTACTGAGCGTGGTGACGATCTGACTGTTTGTAATCGCCAGCGGTGACATTGCGGCACAGTCTACCTTCAGGCAAATCGTTAACGCCACCAGAATCTCCGCAGATTAGCTGCCATTTGCCAGTTTCTGGTCACTTGGCCAAAGTTGAAATGAATGACGATATTCGTAGAATGGGAATGGCTGCTGTCGGTGGTAAGGCTAGCAGATTTGAGGTTTTATTTTAAGCATATGCATTGTCACAAAAAAAGTGATTACGACATTCGAAATATTCAAAAGTGGGCTTAACTTAGTAGCTTAGCTGTTCTAGAAAAAAATATCATAAGCTTTTTATTCGAAGGAAAATTTTGTTTCCATTTTAATTCTGTCGTACACTTTGCATCGACGATGAGAGTAGGTCATCGATGTGGTCATCGACGCCCCCCCCCCCCCCACCTCCTTCGACGCCCCGGCGATGTTTGCTGATGAGAGCAGAATAATGGAGAAATTCCCAAGTTGATCCGGGGCTTTGCCCTATTTAACCCAGTGGTATTTAACCCAGCGGACCAGTTTTGCAGAGTCACAGTTTTCAATCCCTGTACCTGTACATGTCCAAAATATATTTTGAATCTATGGTTATGAAATCCGTTTTTTCTTATGAGCACTTGGAATTCCCCACCATTTGTTTGTAAACGGAAAACTGAGTCAGGTGTGAAATACCTAAATGACGTTCAATTCGAGTGTCATTGTGCTTCATTCAACGCAGAAAGCTGGACCCAAAGCAGCTGGCCATCAAGCAGCTCTAAATTTGCCCCAGAAGACAGAAATTTATGCTTTATAGTATTTAGATACACTGGATTCTCAGATCGACAAATCGGTAAACGTAGGCGTTTTGAACATGTATTGGCGAAGACAAAATAAATACATTGACTGGGTTTCACATCATCAATTACAAAAAACACGGGACATCTGACAATGGGCCGACGCGGCGCGTCTGTCCCTCTCCAAAGGAGAGAGGGAGAGCAGCCCGGTCGGCGGCAGGCGGCGCCGGCGGCCGTCTAGTTGTACGGCTGCTGCTTGCCGGCCGGACGGTATGCCGGCTGGCTGGCAGACGCCGCCGGGTAGCGCGCCTCACCCTCGTACGTCACCTCGGCCACGTAGCCGCCGTCGCCGCTGACGCTGTAGGTGACGCGCTGCACGCGGCCGTCCGGCAGCGCCACGTAGTAGCTGCCCTGCGTGTTGGCTCCATCGCGCGACTCGCTCTGTCCAAAGTCGACGGCGTAGTTGGAGTCCTGCACCTTGTAGTCGTAGGCGTACTTGGCCGGAGCATCTGAGTACTGCTGCTGGGCGTACTTCTGGGGAGCCGCCAGGGCGACCGCCACCAGAGCAGAGATGAGCAGGACCTGGGAAATGAAAACAAGGACGGTTAGGTTACAAAAGTTTCGCTGCTGTTACATCGTATGGGAACTAAGAGTGTCAGTTTGAAATGCAAGAAGTACTTAGATTGCTGTTATAGCAGAGTCATTAGTCAAACAACTGCCGGCCATGCGTCCATGCGTCACAGTGTATCCATGCGTCACATCAAAACTTTTAAGATATGAGTTCAAACTAATAGCGAATTGAAATATATGTGAATGAAAAATTCAGAGGTAGCTAGCATTATTTCCTATGTAATTCATCAAAGTGTAGGATGCAATGCAAAGTTTTTGATATTTTTTTGAACATGAATTTAACGTCGAAACAGCTCTACTCTCACCTTCATGTTTCTGGCTGAGGTTGTTTGGTAAGCTTTTTACTGCTGTATCCGCTGTGGGAGACTGGTGTCGACAGCAGGGCACACACGACTTATATACCTCCGGACTCCGCTAGACTCTCACGGTACTGACTGGACACACAGGCAGTGACCAGCCCAATCACTACTGGGTGGTGCCCGGCAGGCGGCAGTAAAACCCAGACATCGGCCTTGCCCCAGGAAGTGTGCATTGAAATTACTGCTGCAATGAGGCTTCAGCCTTCTCAAATAACGCCGCCGAGTACCATGAACTGCACATGCGATGAGCATTTTATGCATGTACCTTTTTACGGTAGATGTTGAATTCATAACATTTCATACCGCAAGTGTGGGTATGTAAACTCTAGTCGACATAGAATAAAGTTTGTTTTGAGATTCTTCATTATTTCCCTAAATAATGAGGGAAATGGGATTTTATTAGCGTTTTAAACTTAGCTGTACCGATGCACCGCACGGGATCTTGGATTTCCATACCCTCTCGAGATTTACATAAACGGCTGAATCAGAATAGCAAAACAAGTCAAATGAACGCGCGGAAGCGACAATTCTGCTCAATACGATATTCTGTAGAATGTAGCCGATCTATATTGTCTATATGTTACAGGGAGTTTGAGAAATCCGTGAGTTTGGAAACTCCCTAGGGAGCTTGCAAACTCCCTGACCCATCAGTGAGTTTGCAAATTCACTAGGGAGTTTGCAAACTCACTGACCGGTCAGGGAGTTTGAGAACGTCCAGAACGATTGGGACAAATAAAAACAAGTGTGCAGCATGTGGGTGACATACGTGCCGTCCGTGATATTAAAACAAAGGCGGCTAGTTGTACGGCCTATTTAACAGTCGCACGCTGACAAACAGCTTACAGATCATATGCACACCATAAATGCCTACTTAAAATTTTAAACTGTTCAGTGATCTAGCCTAAACATGTACCGCCGCTTCATTTAGTCATACATTTATTTAATTCACGGCCCAATTGTATCCATTCCACACAAGTGTGGCTATTCTGCAGAGGCAGGCTCAATATATCGAAGTAGAAACAGCTCAGTTGGTCATTTATGCTAAAGCATATAAGGTATACGTGTGGAACACTTGTGTGGAACGGATCTGTAATTGGGACGTGAAGTAAATAAATGTATGACTAAATGAAGCGGCGGTACATGTTTAGGCTAGATCACTGAACAGTTTAAAATTTTAAGTAGGCATTTATGGTGTGCATATGATCTGTAAGCTGTTTGTCAGCGTGCGACTGTTAAATAGGCCGTACAACTAGCCGCCTTTGTTTTAACATCACGGACGGCACGTATGTCACCCACATGCTGCACACTTGTTTTATTTGTCCCAATCGCTCTGGAATTTCTAAAACTCCCTGACCGGTCAGTGAGTTTGCAAACTCCCTAGTGAATTTGCAAACTCACTGATGGGTCAGGGAGTTTGCAAACTCCCTAGGGAGTTTGCAAACTCACGGATTTATCAAACTCCCTGTAACATATATAATATTAGTAAAGCACCCGGAAGCATGCTATGGAGCATAGTATTTATTTCCAAGAAATTTTATATTCGGTAGTGTTGACATGGTTTAGGTATAGATGCGGTAGGGCAAAATCTGATCAGTGGTCATTTTATGTGACATTTACCTACCTAATGTAAACCAGCATTTATCAGTTGATATTTCTTAGAATTGCGATGCGCTAGTGACAGTTATTTTCATCTGCTAGCACTCAATAGATTACACGCATGCTGTCTGAAGCGTCGGGACGTTTTCCAATTATGGAAAACCACGTAGTCCGCGCCTCTCACCAGTCAGCTCATCTACACGAAATTTGGTAACGTATATTCGTATTAGCCGTTTTCATGACGGCCATCTGGTACACATTTGGTGCAGATTAGGTGCAGATTAGGTGCAGATTTGGTCAAGTTAGGTTCAGTGTGTTTCTCAAAAGTTATGATTTTGGGATGCACAGATGCTTATATAACTCATTTTTAGAATTGTCAGGAATTATCTTCGATTAACCCGCGCCCGGCTGGGGGTCCTGGATTTCCACGCCCTGCTGGGGGGGGGGGGGTGTTTGAACACCCCCCCTTCTAACTCGGCTCCTGGGCCACGTAGCGATACGCAGAAGGCGGCGTTCGAAAGAGCGTCAAAAATAATGAGGAAATCACTTCAGTCAATTTTTTGGTCAGGTCAAAGGTCAGGTCCCTAGAGGTCATTGAAGGCAAAATTTCGCCGATTTCCAGGTCGAATGTCGACAATTTCCAAGAAGCCAACGCATAACTCGGGAACCAATAGAGCTACAGCGCCGCGGAAAAGCGCATACGATAGCCCTATTAACGCCCTTTCTGAGTAATTATCTCAGATTTGACCTAACGTCAACGGTTTTGCCTGCAGGGGGCAAAAACTGCAAAAATAGCCGATTTTTTTCGGAAACAGTTTTTCTGCAATAACTTTTGACCCAAGCCTTGTACGAGCTTACTTTTACCGGCATCGTGTTCCTCTCGTCAAGACGCATCGAATGAACTATAGCTTGACCTTGAAAGGTCAACTTGAAAATTTGACCTCAGGTCAAGGTCATGACCTGACCGGAAAGGGTCATGTTGCATATCAGTCGATCCGTATCGTCGAGCTGAACACATCTAAGGCGTTTTCATCGCTCTAGCATGCCTCTATCAAAAGTTATTTGCGAAAAACTGTTAGATACCATTCGTGACCTAAGATGACCTCAGGGCATAAACAGGGGTCACAGACACCATTTTCATGTTCAGTGTGTCTAAACCACTTGTAATTCAGTGTTTGGGAGTGTTTATAATGTCTTTCGTCCAAAAGAGGCGCATTTCAATTTTCTCCCATTGACTTATAATGGGGAGGTCGCAAAATTGACCTGACCTTAGGTCATCGATATCAAAATTCTGAGATATACATTTTGTACATGCTATTGCTCTTAGCAATCGCTGAAAGTTTCAAAGCGATCGGTCACTCGGTGTAGCTATGACAGACATTGAAACTTTTTATGAGGTGAGGTCACTTCAAGTGACCTGGTGACCTGACCTTGGATGACCTTGGTCTGAAATTTTCACAACATGTGTAGAATTGATGTATGATAAGGTGTACCAAAAACGGCGGCGCTCCGCGCCGCCGTTTTTGAGATATTCGCGAAAAACCACAAGGGGGGTGTTCAAACACCCCCCCCAGCAGGGCGCGGGTTAAAACACCGAAATAAATTCATGATACGCATAGGCGCGGGAGCCGGGGGGGGGCAGTGGGGGCAGCTTGCCCCCCCTCCCAACTCTGGGGCCGTGGGGGCGGTGCCCCCACAGCTTTGAGACGGAACACCACACTTTTTTGCAAATGTTTTCTTTTTTGTTGAAAAAGCCAAGGGATGAAAAATAAGTGGCCTAAAACCGGTGAGAAAACTATATTTGGGGGTACCCTAGGTTGATCTCTATTATGGTGTGCCCCCCCCCCAGTCTGAAAGTAGTTCCCGCGCCCCTGATGATACGACGGATGTATTTATTGTAAAAGAGATTCGGTGCAGATGTCAAATTAGGTGCATTCGCCAGATAGCTCGTTGTGAAAAAGGCTATTGTCACGTATGCCTATAAAAAAACACCGCCTTATCCGTAACTCCGCTAAGCACATAACACCTTCACCCTTCCATCCCAGTCCAAACTACCTTCGACAGCCTTGAGTATAACTAAACGACCTCACGGGCGGTACAGTGAGCTCTCACACCGTGTATCGTTCCCAGGGCAAACATCCTATTACTGCGACTGTAACCGGCTGCTATCGATGCTACTGAGGCGTCGTCGGGGTGACCAATCCACCCCGTGCTTCGATTGCGCATTGCCACGAAGCTCGCACGCGCCACTCCCTGGGGGGACGCGTGCGTCTGAAGGGGGTGTTGGTGGAGAGGGAGGTTGGGGGGAGGGTTCTGTCGCGTGCCAGGGACCACTGCAGGCGCTCGGGCGTTGCCGCCGGGACGGCTGGTCAGTGGGACTCTCCCACGCTCGTTGCGGTTCACCGCGGCCACTCGAGTTATGGGCCGCCAGCAGCGCAATGCGCGAAATATTTGTGGCAGCCTGCCGGCTGGGGTTGAAGTGGCAAACAGCTGGTTCGATGGTTTATTGGGTTCAGAATGCCGGCCATTTGACACGCCCCGAGAGTTTGGACGTGAATGAAATAGAATGAAATGTAAACATGCGACGTCGGCTAAAGATTAACATAACACTTTTGGATAATTTATCAAACAATGAAAAATGACAGCCTACGACAACTTTTACTGGATATAATCCTGAATGCTACGTCTCGTTTCCGTACATACATGCTTAACTTGAGACGTGATTGACGTTTATCATCATCATCATCAATTTATTCATTATCGCATAGTGCGATAAGTGATAACAATAACATAATGTAACACATTTATGTAAGGAATAAAAATATTCACAGATACATAGTACACAGATACACAGTATTTTGATTTTTTTTTATTTTGTTGCTCTTTATTGTTATCACATGATGCATCTATGAAGGTTCTAATCAAACTATCTCATTCTATCGCTGACAAAGGGTTCCACGCGCTATTACTGTGTAGCTGTCGTCTACTCGTAGGATCACCTGCCGTGTCTCGGTGGTTAGTGTGGTTTGAGGGCTGTCCTTCGAGGTGACCGGTGACCGGTAGGCACCCATAAAGTCAAGGCATTGATAGGTCAGTGGCCGCCTTGGCCCACTTGGACACTTGTTCCACATCCTGATCTTATATAGCAACTGCATACCACAAAATCAACTTCGAGCGCTGAGAAATGTGACAACTCTATGGGAGGAAGTCACAAAAATTCCTCTGTATACCTATATTTTAACCCTCGCCGGACCTATTGGTTTTCTACATACGCGCCGGCCGAGGGGGGGGGGGGGGGGGCGGGTACGACCCCCCCTCGCCGTTTCGCCCCTGGTGGAGCTAGCGCGTCGCGGAAAAAACGAGCGTGTGCGCCGTTACGAGACGCAGAGATTGGTGCCCAATTTTAAGGTCCTAAGTCAACCAGTGACCTCTGAGGTCAGGTCAAGTGCCCCAGGGTACGGTTCAGTTTTTGGTGAATAACTTCGCAAAAAACGGTCGCAGAGCCGCGATTTTGGCAGCATCGTGTTCGCCTCGCTCAGGCGCGTCGAATGATATACTTTTTGTCCGGGTCAGGTCAACTTGGGGTGTTGACCTCAGGTCAAGGTCAGGTCAGCACCCCCAGGTCACGAAGTTGGTCGAAAGAGGTCATGTCGCATATCATTCGATTCGGCAGGTCTTCCTGAGTCCATTGGTGGCTTTCTCGACTCGCTAGCTCAATTTGATCAAGAGTTATTGACGAAAAACTAATATGACCTTGATGACGTCATAAATGACGTCACGCAAGGTCAACATTGCAAAAGTGACGCATCTAACCTTGCAAGGAGTGCATCAAATCACGATTCTGTGTGCTTGAGATAGTTGGAGATCGTTCCCGGCGCCAGAATAGCAGTTTTCATTTTTC